GGAAAGCAATGTCTTGACAAGTATTTAGCCCCCAAATTATTTGAGAAAACGAATCATAATGCTTGAGTTTTCTTTTCCCCTCCTAACTTGTGTCAAGACTTGCTCCTTCAAGTAGCAAAAATACCTTATGAAATAAATTGCCTTCAGAAATCAAATAGCAGCTCTAACAATGCAGTTAATTTTTCTTGTTTCCTTTCATGTTAGGTACATTCATTTTCATCTACCCAGCCTAAATTCTATTAAGACAGGCTGAGAGCGCTGGGCTTGTTCAGCCTGGAGAAGAGAAGGCTCCTTAAAGGGAAACCTTAGCAGGTCCCAGTGCCTAAAGGGGCAGACAAGAAATCTGGAGAGGCACTTTTTGCAAGGGTCTATAGTAGAGAACATGGGGAATGGCTTTAACCTGACAGAGGGGAGACTGAGATTAGACATTAGAAAGAAGCTGCTCACTATGAGGGTGCTGAGGCACTGGCAAAGGTTGCCCAGAGAATCTGTGGCTGACCCACCCCTGGCAGTGTCCAAGCCCAGACTGGACGGGGCTTGGAGCAACCTGCTCTAGTGGAAGGTGTCCCTGCCCATGGCAGGGGGGTTGGAACTGGATGAGCTTTAACTTCCCTTCCAACCCAAACCATTCTGTGATTCTAAATCATCTCTGACTGAGCTTGTAATATTGACTCTTGATCTACATTAAATATGCTTCTTGACAAAGGATACTTGGTCAAACCATGCTTCTGAGCCGTGCTATGTGTTTATAAAGAAGTTCCTATTTGTGTAATTTCTCACTTTCACCTACCCTGAAAGGCTGGCTCCCAGCACAAGAATACCATTCAGCTATAAAAAAATTAGAATAATTTCCTTTATTTAAACACAATCAAAAGCTGTGATGCTAAGGCACAACTGCACCAAACACACAGAGCTCTGAGTAAGCCACCATGAAACACTTCATAATAAGTCTGCAAGTATCCTGAAAACATCACTTTATCAAAGCCTTGGGCGGAGGTTTATCAATAGACAGGCTGTGAAGGCCCTAGACAGACTGGATTTCAAGGCAGAGACTCATCAAGAGTCAACTGAGATGGTGAAAGCCATTGAGATTATCACAACTATCACTTACCATCACCAGAATGCATCATAATAACCCTTGTCGTTATGGTCCTTATTTAAGTATCAGCTGCGAAAGCAAAGAAGTCCCCTGCATGTAGCAAAGAACTCTCTCAGCTGAACAGAAGATGCTTATGGCATGAAGGTGGCATCTATGAACTGCTCGTACACAGTACTACAAAATACAGCACAATCCAGTTCTCTACCGCTCAGGCACTGCCTGCAGGACCAGAAAAAACAAATTCCCAATATTTTCGGAGCAATTCAGAACTACCACATAGCACAGTGGGGTCTGATCTAAAGACCTGTCTTACCACACCATGTCCTTCCCATCTGACTTAAGAAAGAAGTAAGTGGTACTATTGACAACCTGGACATGAATCATTTCTTCTGAGCAAAACCTTCCCTTTGTCACTCGAAAACAAAACAAACAACCAAACAAAAACCAACAAACAAACAAACCAAGAAAAAAAACCTCAGCAGATGAATCAGCTGTTCACATCTCAGACACACAAGGTCTATGCACCTTTCACCCCCAGACAAACTCCAAATGAGTAAGAGACCAAAAATCAAGTTCACCTATTGCAGTCAAACACCTGCAGCCCAACACAACTGATTATGCCAAAAACTTCAGTCAAGCTGGTAACTCCCTGTTGACTACAGCTGAAGAACAGACATTTGCTCTTATAACTGAATCTCTTTTGAGGATTTACCATAACTGGCCTTGTGCTACTTTCACCTTGACAGCAAGGAATGAAATGTAAACAGCCATGAAGTACCTCAACTCTTTCAAGGCTGGTAATCTGGAACTTAAGCAAAGGGCTGCGCAGAACATTATGTAGCTATTAGTGAGTGGGAAGAAAGTGTCTATACAAAGATAAGGTCAAGGTTGACAAAACCTCCACAGCAGATGAGAACCTCCACCTGATCACCTTGTGGGGCTTGCCAATTCAGGACTGCTCCTACCTCTGCTGATAGAAGCTGCTGTCCACACAGCAGTTGCTTCTGAAGGCTGCTGCCCTTTTCCAACTAGTTTGGAGGTCCTAACTGTGAAGTACTGCAGCAGATACCTGTATGCTGTTTTAGTTGATAAAATATGCTTAGATGTTGCACTTGAATTTTTAAGAAGTCACTGACTTTATTAAAGCCAGCACTAAAGTACTGTTAGCTTACCATTTAAGCAAACATTCAGGGGACTTATTTTATGTTTCAATTTATCAAATGCTAGAGTTAACAGGATTAGCAACCGAAACCAGAATCTTTTGTAATGTTGAACCAGTTTTTAAGAGCAGTAGCTCCTGTCAAGGAGATGCAGAGAGAGAGAGAGCACTCCCCTCGTTTCAGTTTATTCAGCTAGTTCAACAACCTGGAGAGAAAGCTCGTATTTCTTCAAGAATCAACAAGGTGCCAAAGGCTGCCAACAGCACAAATCAAGCATTTGTATTCTCAGTCAACCCTCTCTAACACTTTCCTTATTAAGATCACATTAAACACAGGTTTTCCTCAATATTTATACTTACTTTTAAGTAGAAGCCTTTGTACTTTCCCTCCAGCTCCTACCCTCAAACCACAGCTCAAGTGGAAGAAAATTCCCAAACTCTCATTGCCACAATGTTTAAGAACATTATATCCTGTAACTTTAGCTTTATCAAACTAAAATTACAAAACAAGATGAAGCTAGTTCTCTCATCAATCCAAGATATCCGAAAAAAAATAATCACATGCTGATCTGAAATAGTGCGCACCTTGCATATACTGAATATAGCATAGAAGTCACCTCACCAAACAAAGTTTAGGGTATTAATCTTCTCTTTAAATGATTCAGTAAGTCTAACACATACAAAGATTTGCCTGAAGGCTCAATACAAAGAAAGCCAAGAACATCACTTTTCAGGACAAGACTGCTTCTCCCTAGGGGCAGAATGAGGGTCTAAGGCCACTCTTTAGGTAGCTCAGATGTTAGAATGCATCACCACAGATTAAATGCTACCAAAACAAACAAAAAAAAAGCCACCATGCACAACCCCTTATGGATGAAAGATGAGACAGAAACAATACAACAGACTTCAGCTTGCAGGGAATCTTGTGTGGAAAGGTGAAGGCACCATGAGACTTTAGTCTCCCAGTCTCAAACTACGTATCACAGGATGGGTCAGAAGATTTTAGAAGAAAGGCACAACATTTCAAGGACTGAAAATACCAAAAAGGATAGCACATTCATAACACTGAGGTAAGGCAAGTGGCAACCCTGCCCCAATCTACACTTGTTAGCACACATCCCTAGATTATCTCAAAGGCTCCTTCAGATTCTTTCCAGGAACAATCAGAAATGCACGGTCCAGAGACCAGCAAACAAAGATTCTGACCCATTGTGATTTCTCTGAATAAAAATGCTTGAGTAATGTAAGTGCAGGAAGAGGTCATCAAGCCATTTGGGTGTAAAAATGACCCAGCTGCCAAGCAAAGACTAGAGTGACTTCCTGAATTAATAATAATGGAGGTGAGTCTAAGAATATACCTATCATACCTACATGAGTAAGCCAGCCAACTCATTACAAAAGGCAAGCCTTGTGCCAAAGCCTCCTCTTCCTACAAAACAATGAGGCCAAACTGAACGTGACTCAAATCTATTATTCCCCAAGCTACAGGTTATTTTGGTTTTGTGGAACAAAGCTCTTAAACCTTGACCCAGAGAAGCCAAGAGGCACTGAGGATGCACATTAGCCAAGGAAAGAGAGCATACAAAACTTCTTTTCCGTTTGACAGAAGCCAAAGGGCATGAAACAGGAGATGCAGGAGCCACTACTAAAATGATTAACTCCTGGGACAGGCAAGCTGAAAGGGACAGTATTTTGCCAGAGACCGAGGGCACACCAAGTCCAAAGAGGTATGCCCTATGCAGTGTATATTCTGTAGGACGAGGTGTCCCTGCCCACAGCAGGGGGTTGGAATGAGATGATCTTAAGATCCTTTCAAACCCTAACTATTCTACGGTTCTGAAGATACCAAGGGGTTTTAATTGTTCAAGACAGACATGCAATTCCTCCTCCAGCTGATTTGAGAATTTAAGTCTGCTCCTTTCAGTTCCTTTCTGTGACAGCCACGCCAGATTCCTTGTTTACTGTATTTACAAGAGGGGAAACAACCACACAAGGGGTTTTATTTTATTAACAGGAAGGTTGAGAGAGGAATTGAAAGCATTTATCTACCTTCACCAATTACACGTTACCGTTGCCTTTTGAAAGCTGCCCTCTGAAAGGCTGGAGAGGAAGAAAAGGAAAACAAGAAGAAAAAACATAATCGCAAAACCCTGAAATCCTGAAGTTTTGAGGAAAACAGAGCCTTTATCCTGAATTAGGATAGATGACTGAATAGTCATCTTACACAGGACGCTGCTCCGCGAGGACCGGAGCTATCGAGACATGGATGGGAAGCCCCTTACTTTGAAATAAACAAACACAGACCAGAGCCAGATGGACAACCTGGGGATGGGGGAGAACCAACCTGCACCCTGCCATGAGGTACCTGCTCTTCTCTGGGGTTAAATAACAGAGCAGAGCGGGCTGCGGCGCGGCCCCTCTCTCCAGCGCGCACCCCGAGGGACAAGGAAGGGGAGGTCCCGCAGGCCCCCACCCGCCCCTGCGGACCATCCTCCGCCGCCGGCAGCATCACAACGAGCCCCTGCGCTCCCTCCTTCCGCAGGCCCCGGCCCCCTCCGGCTGGGGGCCAAGGGGCTGGCAGCGGCCGCGGACCCGCCGCCCCACCGGGGCCCCTCCGAGCCCGACAAAGAGGCCCAGCAGGGCGGCGAAGGGGGGGGTAGCGCAGGCCCCGGCGGCGGTTGCCCGGGACCACCGCGGCGGCGGGAGGCCCGTTAGGCCAGCGGGGCTGCGGTAAGACCGTACCTTGAAGTACCCGCCCTCGTAGAGGGTGTTGGGGGGCCCGAAGATCGCCACCTCCCAGTTGTAGAGGTCGGACTCATCGACCAGGGTGATGCGGAAGCCCTCCACCGGCTCCTCCTGCAGCGACTTCAGCTCCAGCATCAGCGCCTTCTGCGAGCTGCTCATCTGCTGCTGCGCCATGGCGCGGCGCGGCCCCCGCCGCCGCCGCTTCCCCCTGCTCCAGCTGCTGCCGCTCCGCCGCCGCGCTGCCCCGCGGGCCCCCGCCCCTCCCCGCGCTGACGGACGCCGCCGCCGCCGCCGCCACTTCCTTTTGTGACGGCGCCCGCTCACCGCTGACATCAGCGCGCCGCGCCGCGCCACGCCCCCCGCGCGGCAGGACACGCCCCTTTATAGGCTAAGTCACGCCCCCTTCCAATGGCAAGCCACGCCCCCGACCGGTAAGGGCACGCCTCCACCGGTGAGTTTAAAGAGACAGCGCTCCCCGCCGCAGCGCCGGTCGGTGGGCGTGGGGTCCTGGCTCTGCGGTAGCAGCCCGCACCGAAGCCATGTGCTGGGTTGCGAGTGTGGCGGAGGGGATGGGGCTGGCGGCAGTCACGGGTGGGCTCGGCCGGGGCACGGTGCTGCGGGGTCACAAACAGTCCGGTTTTGTACAAAGGGTGGGATTTGAGCAGCGGGTTCCCTACGGATCCCGCGAGCGGCGGTAGGAGAGGAACAGGCATTACACCATTCCCGAAACCCACGTGTTATTTTCACGTGGCTTCACATGTGGGCAAGGTGCTCCCAGCAGAAAATGCAGTTTCCGTCCTTCGCTCCCTTCCCCAGACTGGATAATAGCAAAGGTGTTGAGATACGTCGACTGGTCAATGTGAACAAGCACCCGTTCCTCAGGGAATCTTCAGTGAATAACGCAGATCCTATTCGTTATAAACAAAAAACAACAAAGAAAAATGAGATAGTGATTACCCAGGAGGAGGACACATAGCACAGCGCAACCCCAGGTGCAGCAAACCTGGGTCCCACTTCTGGAAAGGTTAATGCACACAGCACCACTAGGCTTGCAAGCCGGGAATCTTATCTCTGCGGGACAGGAGAAATAATACAGACAGAATCAACTAGATTGGAAAAGACCTTTAAGATGTTTGAGTCCAACCATTAACCCAGCACTGCCAAATCCACCCCTAAAACCATGTCACTAAGGGCCACATCTGCACATCTTTTAAATACCACCAGGGACAGTGACTCCAGCACTGCTCTGCTCAGCCTGTTCCAATGCTTGACAACCCTTTCAGTGAAAAAATTTTTCCTAATATCCAATCTAAACCTCTCCTGGCACAGCTTGAGGCCGTTTCTTCTTGCCCTGTTGTACTTGGAAGAAGAGACCAACCCCCCCCCCACCTCCTTTCAGGTAGTTGCAGAGAGCCCCCCTCAGCCTTCTCTTCTCCCTCACCCCCCAGGTCCTTTTCCATGAGCAGCTTTCCAGACATGCTTCCCCAAGCCTGGAGTGTTGCACAGCCCTGACAGAGAAAGGTTTATGTGTATTCCCTGAATCAAAGAATTAATATGGTCCTAATCTAAACAAGTAATAGGCTGTGATGAATTCTGAATTAATTGTAATGTCTCCCAAAAAATGTCAGATTTATTTGAAAGAAAGCTCTGTTATCTGTGATCTTGTGGTTACATAAAAATTGGAGATTAATAAAAGTGAAAATCAAGTAATGCCTGAACGTAATCCATGGTGTTGGATTACACGGAGTGCAGGGATTAAATGGTAAACAATGCTGAGGTGCTGCTGCATAGAGAGGGACTGCTCACTTCCCTGGGCAGCCTGTTCCTGACCACCCTTTCAGTGAATAAATTGTTCCCAATATCCAATCTAAACATCCCCTGGCACAGTTTGAGGCTGTTTCCTCTTATCCTATCACTTGCTGCTTGGGAGAAGAGACCAACCCCACCTCGCTCCATCCCCTTTCAGGCAGCTGTAGAGAAGTCTCTACCTGGCACTTGGCAGCCACAGCTTCTTCTCCAGACCTTCGCCCAGGGGGAGAGCAGGGGGCAGATGGTCCTCCCCAGGCACCAGCTGTTACAGGACAAGTTCACTGCTGGCCCTGTGGTGAGCACAGCATCCTCCTCCTTGTCCCTGCAACTGCTCCACTTGCCCTCTTCCTGCTTCTTGGGGTCTCCACAGGGAGGCCCCCATCTCCTGCTCCAAAGATGCTCCAGCACCAGCAGGGTACCTATTCCAGGGCTTGTGACTGCCTCCAGGCTGTAAAATATCCCAGCTTGACATGTCAGGGGTACAGGCCCTTGCAAAATCCCATCTCACCCTTGAAAATGGCCCTGCGAGGAGTGGCATAGGTTTTCTGATGAGCCAGGATGAGCTCTCGCTTGCTGTCATAGGGGTAATCTGCAGGAACATCCCTTGTCCAAACCCAGCTTGCTTGGTTACACTGTGAAAAAGTGTGTGTTCCCATAGATGTGCCCCCCTGCAGGCACAGGTCAGCCACCATCACTCTTTACCACCATGGAGTGAGCTCAGATTTACAGAAAGATGCTTAATTCTGCTCTTGCATTGTCTAAGCCCCTCTCAAGCAGTGATGGGCTTGGGGCATCAACCACCTCTCTGGGAAGCCTCTTCCAGTATTTTGACCACCCTCTCTGCAAAGAAATGCTTCCTAATCCAGTTTAAACCTCCCCTGGTGCAGCTTTGAACCATTCACTGGATGCCAGGGAGAAGAGCTCAGCACTTCCCTCTCTACATCCCCTCCTTAGGAAGCTGTAGAGAGCAATGCAGTTGCTCTTCAGCCTCCTTTTCTTCAAGCTAGACAAGCCCAAAGTCCTTAGCTGTTCCTTAGAGGACATTCCATCCAGCTGCTTTACCAGCTTTGTTGTGCCCCTCTGGGCATTCAAGGATTTTCACATCCATCTTAAATGGTCTTGGGTTGATGGATATAATCTTGACAATACGGGATCAGGTTGGCAGACAAGACATGTGAGCTGGGAGCCACATGTTGCTTGACTACCAGGCTTCCCTGGTGTTAGGTACTTCCATCCCTGTTGGGTTTGCCCACATCTGGGCCACATGTTGGAGGGCTCCAGACACTGCTGAGCAGTGCCTCCTCTGGGGGAGAGAAAGCACTTCACCTCTGCCCACCACGTCCCACCCAACTCCATGGTGTGGGTCAGCAGTTTTTGTCTTCATCCCTGCTCTTCCCAATCCCAACAGCCCAGTCCTATGCTGCAGTACTGCTCGCTGCTGCACAAACAACATCAGTCTCAGTCACACCTCCACCCCCACTTCCCAAACACTCAGGTTTAATGTCACAAATCATCATTATTACAAAGTGCCTCAGCACCAGCATTCACTTCCAGCTGCCCCTCTATGTGCTCCGTTTTCATTGCTGATAAGTCTAATAATGCACACAAACAGGAACACTGTGACCTTCCATGTTGACATCAGCTAGCAAAGACTTGCTCAGCTGGTGTCTTGGCTCACCAGTAAAACAAGGATTTGCTCTTGTTCAGAGGAAAATGCTGGGTTGATTCAATGTGCCAGAGATGACTGCTTTCAGGAACAGGCTGCCCCTATTTCTATGGTAATTGAAACACCTTTCCTTGCAGCCGGCCTCCAGCACAGGCTTTGTCTGAACCAGACTAGTGCCGAGAGAGATGGGAGAAGCGAAGTTTGGAGCTATTCAGGACTTATCTCCACCTGCTGCCTGTCTCAAATGTTAATGAAAGAGGAAATCAAGCAACGCAGAAAGTAAGGCAGAAAGTGAAGCAAACCCTGGTGTATTCAACAGGGCAGGCTGAAAATTTTCCATCAGGTCTGCATTTAGAGAGAATATTGGTCTTTCTCCCCAATTTCTTTTTCCCCTCTGCTGCAAAAACATCCACTGCTTGCAGGAGACAGAAACTGTTGAAGTAACGGAGGACTTTGCAACCTGGGCAGCCCCTTTCGAGGTTCATCTGCTCTGCCTGGTATCCCCTTCCCCTAGCCCAGGCTGCCCAGAGGCTGACATATCTTTCTCATTTATTGTATGGCGTTTCTCTCCCCTAATCAGCTCTGATACATCTAAATGAAAGGATGAAACCTTGCTCACCTCTTCCTTCAGCTGCTCCCCCATGGGTGGTAGCTGCCTGCCTGCAAGCAGGGCTCTCCATGGGGTGTGCTTTGCCACAGATGGTATTGTTTCCTCTTTATCTGCATTTGTTATTTTCCCCACCTGAAGGAATCAATTTGCTCTTTGGGCTCAGAGAACAAATAACAGAGCCTGGTGTAGGAACACGTGGTTTCAGGAACGGGAAGTCTCACCAGGAGAGGAAGAGGCTACACGTGCCATTAATCCAGCCCCCGGCAGTAGAACTTGTAGCTGTAAACTGGACCCCAAGATGCCACTGGCACCTTATGTAAATCTGAGATGAAAACTTCAAGACCTTTCTGCTTTGTTCTCATCATCTATTTTTAATATCTCCCTTCCTTTTCTCTCTCCTCCTTCCTGCGAGCTGCATTCATGAAGGATGACAAACTGGGAGTTAACTCCTCTGCTTAGCAACAGCAGAAGCTTTGAAAATGCAAAGGTCATCCTGCTGTCACATTAGAGTGTTCCTGCTCTGTCAGCTGGCAGAGTGAGGTGGGGACATGGGGCAGGTCCTCCCTGTGTGACTCCATTCTTGGGGCAGGATCCTCTCACATGATATTCTTTGGCGCTTTATACGATTTCTTTCCTGAGTGGCTCAAAGGATGAGACATCTGCTCCTTCCCTTAGGGAACCGGAGCTGTCTGGGCTAAAAAACATCACCACCTCCTCTCCTGCTGCCTCCTCCCTGCTCCTGTGCTCTGGCGAGGCATTGGCAGGGATCTGGGGGGCTCTGGGCTGGACTTCAGCACTGTCTCACCCCAGGATGTTAGATGGATGCTTGTGTGATGAAGATCAGGGAATGGGTAGGAGGTCTGCTCAGCTTACATCCCCTACAAGGAGCCTTTTGAAACTTAGACCACAGACAGCTATTCCTTGGGCTGTACTAAAACAGAGCAGGATATTTCAAGGACCACTTCATCACCCTTCAGCCCCAAGGCAGTATCAGCTTTTCCTAAGCAGCCCAGGACATGTGTGCCCAAACAGTTCTTTAATATTTGTTCTTCAAACTGCCCAATTTGGAGATTCTTTTGCTCTCAGGTCAACATGTCTCTGTGCTTAGTACACTCCTGCCCAAATCTCATCCCATTTCTTCTTATCCAGACCACTGTGGGGATACGGAAGATAA